CAGTTTGCCAAACTGGCTCCGACTTCAGAGCCTTTGCACTTGCTGTTCCCTCTGCCTGAATGCTCTTCCCCCAGATCTTCGTATGGCTGGTTCCTTCCTCTGTTTCAGGTCTGAGCTCAAACGTCCTCTCCTAGGGAAGGTACTGCCTCACCATGCCCCCACTCTCTCACGAGCCTGTTTGTCATCTTTCTATTTCCCATCCCTCCGGGTCTTTCATCCGTCCCTTCAAAATGCGAGCATCCCGAAAGCACGGCGCACGCCTATCTCGTCGCTGTTGCCAGCGCCCGCAGCTTTTCCCCGGGCCAGCCGAGGCCTGGCACAAGGTTGTGCATCTTTGCCCCGAAGCCTGAACCCTCGGCCTGTTTTCCGTAGGGCCCAGCGGCCAATCTGGTCCGCACCTTCTTCCAGGGGCTCCAGGCCGGTCCCATAGCTGACCAAGTCCTCGTCGCTGTCACTGTCCTGCGCCGCCATCCTGCTCCGTGTCGGGCCCCGCCCCCTCGCTACGGAGGCCTCGACGGGCCAAAAGCCTTCTGCTCTTTCTCCTCCGCGAACGGAAGCGACGTTCTGAGCGCCGGTCCAGGGATGTGCCCACCCCACCCGGCGTGCCTCAGCGCCTGGGGGTTCTCAGACTCGGCTTGTGGGAGGCGGACTCGGGCAGGAGTTGCCTCGGAGGCTTTGGCACCGCGACATCCCGTCCTAGCTCCGCTCAGCCGGTCAGGGGGAAGCACCTGCGAGAAGCTGGAAGCCACGTCCGGCCGAAGAGCGAGTTCTTCGTGAAGAGACAGCAGATATCTGCCCACCGCTCCTTTGGTCCCTGGCCCCAGCTCCCCTTCCCCTGCCAGCAGACACTGCTCCCCTCCGTCCCTGCATTAGTGGAGTCCCCGTCCAGACCTGTGGAAGGACTCACAGACACGGCAACCCTGATGCCCATGGTGAAGGCACATGGACATGAAGGCACATGGAGCTCGGGACACTTGGTCAAAGAGAAAAATAAAGAAAGAAGAGAATAAAAGAAAAGGAGAGAAAGAAAGCAGTAAAGGGGAGAGGAGGAAAACAGGAATAAAGCTAGAGAAGGAGAGAAAAGGAAAGAAAACTGAAAAGAGAAAGAAACCAAGAGAAAAGGGGAAGAAAAAGCAAGTAGACAAGCCAAAGGCTGCTGCGAGGCCGTGTGGGGGACGCTGAGGCCCCCTTATTGAACCTAAAGAAACCAACAGCTGTCAAATGGGGTACTGTTATCCCACCCCGAAACTCCTTTTTACACAAGAGAAAAATGAAGCGTAGCTCATAAGGGGTGGGGCTGAGAGGAAAACAGATCTGGAAACCCACGTTCTCAAAATGAGCGTGAGAAGGCTGTGTGAGTCAGAGTCACTAGGGTGTAAGGTGTCCCTCCCAGCCACCCCCCGGGCCTCCTGAATCAGAACCTCTGCCAGTGGGGCTGTTGTTTGAGGTCTCTAAGCACACTCGGACCTCAAGGCCTTAGCATTCACTGTCCCTCCGCTTGGAATGTTCTTGCCCAGAAACCACATGACTCATTGCTTCGCCTCCTTCAGGTCTCTGCTCAAAGGTTGCTTTCTCAGCGAAGCCTTCTCTCCCGATTTTAAAAACAATCCCTATCTGCTACACTCCCTACCCCCCTACCCTATATTCTTCCACAGCCCTTAATCACCGTTAGTACACCTTTGATACACAAATATATAATTTGATTTCCTTATTTATTGTGTCTTTCTCTCCCTCTTGGAACATAAGCTCCAGAAGGATGTAGATTTGGGCCATTTTTTCGTTTTTCTTTGCTGTATCCTCAGAACCTACAGCAGTGCTTGGCATATAGAAGGCACTCAATAAATAATTTTGAAAAAAAGAATGAATAACTAGTTAAACAAGTCATGGTACATGACTTCAAAAAGAAGAGTTTGTTTAAAAAAAAAAAGAAAGAAAGAAACAAAGCCCCTAAAATGTTTGACAGGTCTCCCATGGAGAACTGGAGTCTATGTCCCTCCCCTTGAATCTAGGCTCCATGACTGCTGGACCAAAAGAATACAGTGAAAGTGACAGTATTACATTTCCCACACCCAAGCTTTAAGAAACTGGCAGCTTCGACTTTCTGTTTCTTGGGATGCTGGCCCTTGGAACCCAACCTCCATGCTGTGAGGAAGCCAGGCCACGAGAAGAGGCCATGTGCAAGTATTCCAGCCCCTGGCCTAGCCCAGGTCCCAGGAAACAGTGGGCATCGGTCACCAGCTATGTGAGTGAGGAAGATTCAGAAAGACTCTAGTTCCAGCCACCATCTGACTGCAGCTGCATGAGAGACCCCAAGCAAGACCCTCCTGGCTGAGTTCAGTCACCTCCTGGAACCAGGACATAATAAGAAAATGATTGTTCTTGTTTTAAGTCATTAAGATTTGAGATAATTAGTTAACACCAATAGGCAACTGGAACAACGTATAGGAGGGAATAGTCTATAGTATTTAAAAACACTGATGGAGAAGAATGATCTCCAACATATGTTGTTAAATGAGCAAAATGGGGTGAGACAGTACACAGGGTACTGCTGTTTATCTTAAAAGAAAACGTGAATAGCCAGATTTATTGTGGCTGTTACATCTACAATGAGGGACACAGTACGTCCGCAACTATACTATATAATATGTGTAATATATCTCCAGTAAACTCCCCAAAGAAACCAGTGACAGTGGTTGCCACTGATCAAAGGAAATCACAGTGGGAGAGAGACATGCGTATATTGTACCATTTGAATTTTTGTTTTTAGCTATATCCATGGTATACTTTCCAAAACATTTATTTTATTTTATTGAGGTCATAGTAGTTTATAATATTGTGCAATTTCAGTTGTACATTATTATTTGTCAGTCACCACATAAATGTGCCCCTTTACCCCTTATGCCCATCCCCCAACTCCCTCTCCCCCCCACCCCCAATAATCTGTTCTCTTTTTCCATGTGTTTGTTTATCTTCCACATACGAATGAAATCATGTGGTGTTTGTCTTTCTCTGTTTGGCTTATTTCACTTAACATAATATCCTCAAGGTCCATCCATATGGTTGCAAATAGGACAATTCTGTCTTTTTTATGGTTGAGTAGTATTCCATCGTATATGTATACACCACATCTTCTTTATCCATTCATCAGTGATGGGCACTTGAGTTGCTTCTAGTCTTGGCTATTGTGAATAATGCTGCAATGATTTCCAAAACATTTTTCTGTTGGTGGCTTGGTTTTCATTTGAAAGGTTTTCGTATGTATTAGTAGGTACCAATGTACTAAGGAAAAGACATCTTTTTGTTTCTTGAAGCCCTGCGGGGCCCCCAGGGTCATCACTTGACTCAGCTGCCATTGTGAATGTAAATGTAGATATTGAAAGTAAAGAAGCTTGGGGGCTAGTCTATACACCCAGACAAATCATGAAGGTACGTGATTCTGTTTCTAAATTACCCAAACTAATTTTCTTACAGTTTAAGGCTTCTAAAGAGGCAAAGAAAACCCAGTAAATTTATTACTGAGAGTTTACTTAATTGGATTCCTGACAATCACAAGCATTTTGTAAAATAGTAATAACCAATCTGCCTGACTCCTGATTCATGAGGTTCAGGGGACAAGGAGCCCTTCAAAGTCCCTGCTGCTTCCTCAAGGAGTGGCTCTGTGCTGTCTCCTGGGTGTTGACAGAAGGAGCGACTGGATGCTTCATTTGTGACCCTGGTCACTCATTACCCAGTACTCCCAATTCTTGGCAAAGGGAACCTAGAAACAACATGTGGTTTTATGCAGAGCTATAGCAGCCTAAACACCACATATCTTTCCTTTCTTATTCAGATATACAAGAAGGCACTTGGGTTTTTTCCCCCATTGTGTTTTCTTATTGAAATATAACATATGTAAAGAAAAATGTACAAGTCATAAGCAGACAGTTCTATGCATTTTCACAAAGTGAACACACCCATGTAACAAGCAGATGAAGAAATAGAAAATTTCCAGAATCCCAGAAGCAATAATCCCAGCATGGACTAATTTTGTCTATTTTGTACTTTATATAAAATGGAATCATTTTCTATATAAAATGGAATCCATTTTCTATAAAATGGAATCATTTGTATAAAGCCAGCATTTAGTCTGGCTTCTTTGCTCAACAATAGTCTTGCGAGCAAAATATGTTGCTCACAACATACTTGCTGCTTGTAAAAGGAATGTGTTCATTTTCATTGCGTAAAATTTTTCATATGTGACTCTGCCACAACTTATTTATCCATTCTACAGTTGGTGGACATTTGGGTAGTTTCTAGTTAGGGGCTATTTTGAAAAGTTTAGCTGTGAACATTCTTGAACGTGTTTTATGGTGAATGGATGTATGCATTTCTGGTGGGTATCTATCTAGAGCTGGAACTGCTGGATCATAACTTATGCATATGTTCTGCTCTAGTAGAAAACGCCTAACAGTTTTCCAAAGTGGTCATACCAATTTACACTCCCACAAGCAGTGTATGAGATTCTGACTGTGCCACATTTTCATTGATACTTGGTATTTTTTCCCATTCTGTCACTCACTGATTTTTCATCTATAATTGCTTCTTCCCAACATGCCCTTGGGCAAATATTCTTCCTTTTAAATCACAGGGAATCGTGTAGCGTAGCATAGTGTGTGGTGTAGCACCAGACAGTCTAACTTCCCTGGCTGGTGACCTCTGTAAAATGGGGATGATAAAATACCCACATCACAGTGTTGTGCAAGGACGAACTGAGATAATGCATGCAAAGTGTCTAGCACAGCTCCTGGCATAGACTTAGTATGCAATAAACCACTGCTATGCATAAGACCATATTTCTTAGCTGGGGAAACTGAGACCACAAGGGGAAAAGGATCTAACCAAGGTGACTCAGTGGCAGACCTGCCGAGCCTGATGTGGCCCTCTCTAGTCTGTACTCCTCTGTGGTACCATACGGTGTCAATTTCTAAGAGTTTTTCTCATAAAAATTGCAAAATTGGGTCTATAATTTACAATGAATTTTATTCACTTAAGGATTACTTCGTAATTTCTGCTTTTAATTTTGGCAAATTTCATCAGATTCTCCAAGAGTGAGTGTATGCCAGACTGCCCCCAGAGAAGCCAGTGCTCCTTTTGTCAACAAGTAGGTCTTAGGAGGTGAGACTTGCATTTCACATGGAGGAACTGGATCCCCTGACAATCAACTGCTGGCTCAGCCGGATGGAAAAACAGGGACTTGACAAAACAGTTGTTTGCAGTTGAGATATTAACCTTTTGCCTATCTCAGAAATTCCCAGCCCGATTTTTTGTTAACAGCACAGTGGCTCATGGGTGGTTCTTGTGACACACGCCACCAACAGGGTTGACAAATAGGAGGTTAGATGTTACTCTCCCGCTGGGTCAGCAGCAGCAGCTCTCATTTCCTGATCACAGCAGGATCAGAGATATGGGGCCAGGCCCATGGGTCACCCTGCAACAAGCCATGAGAGTGTCTAGACATGTCTGGTCCTGCACAGCCCCAAGGAGGGACAACTCAGATGGCTCACATGCCCAGGTGCCTGCTGGGACTCAGGAAGTGCTCCTTTTTCTCCGAAGACACCCAAGAGCTAGTCTTGGGGTGGGCTGGTGTGTCTTTAACCCCATTTTCTTCTCTTGCTCTTCTTCCTTTTTAATCAAAGGAGCAGCTCAAGGAGGCAATGGTGTTGGGCTAGATGAAACAGTTTTGTTTTCACTCTATTCACTTTTGTGTGTATCACCCCATAGGGCAAAGTACCACTGGTTTTCCACTTATGGTTATGACATAATTGTCTTATAAAATAAAGTTTGTTTAAATAGAGTGAGTAATTTTCAAGAAGGCTACTGTCAATAACAGTACAAGTGACATACATATATGACTAATCGTAAAGGCGATTGGAACTTCAAGGTGGTAGAAGGAGATGACAGAAATCTGAAGGCGATAGGGAATGACTGGAGTCAGCAGGCCTGAACTACAACCAATCTTCACCAAGATGGCCGGGGAGGGGGTGTCCCTGGCCTCTTCTCTCCTTTGAGCCTTGGTCTTCTCAGAGGGAAATTATTTAATCCTTTTATTTGCAGGAGGGTCCTGAGAATGAAACATAGTATCTATCAACTTTCTGGCTAGAGTAGAGGTTCTATCACGGATAACTTTGTTAGTATTAACAGGATAGTATTACAAATGTGATAGAGCGATCAGCCACCCCAGAATCCCGGAAACCGAAGATGCTGTTTTTAACTCCCGGCTTGGGGGTAGGATGTTTCCAGGGTTAGATGCTGAAATTAGCCTGCTACTCACTTCTAACCCTAAGACAGAAGGGATGTTTTCGCATCTGCCACAGTTTCCCGGAACACCTGTCCCAGCGCTGAGCTGGGACTCTCCCCAGGACCTCCAGGTTCTTTCTCAGAATTAAAACCGTCCCTTCCGGAAAGGCCTTTTCTTGTGAGGAGGTAGATTTTTTTGACATTTACTTGGTTGTTGCCACTATTTATTTACTTTGATAGACGTATAATTGACATATAACATACTAGTTTCAATTGTACAACGTAATCGTTCGATATTTGCATCCACTGCGACACGAGCACCACAATAAATCTAGTTACCGTCTGCCACTATTTATTTTAAAACTCTCAGACAACTCCTAATGCACCTCCGTTTTGTGTTTTTTGTTTTTAAGAGAAGGAAACGTCTGGCTTGTTTTGAAAGCAGATTATGTTCTGTTCTACCTGCGGCATCTACCGCGAAAGCTAAACACTGCAGCAAACGCGCCAAGGCGTCCCTTAGTTGGGGCTAGGGCGGGTAGGGACTGCAGGACGGCGGAGGGGAGGGGCGTGGCCCCGCAGACGGGAGGGCTCCCGGCTAGGTCACAGGGTCTGTGCACGCGGTTCTGCTAGTTATCTGCTCCCCGGAGTCTGCCCATCAGCGCGGGGTGGGTGAGAGACTGCAGCGAACCCCGTTCCCAGGAGTCCCCATTCGCTCTAAACTAGGCGCGTGACTGCCCCCCAGCTAAGAGCTTTAACACGCACTTTTGTTGTCATACCTTCTACCAGCCCGAGAGAGCGTGATCTGGCCCCATTTTGCAGCTCAGAAAAACGAGGTTTAAAGTGGCGGTTAAGAAACGTGCTCGAGGACATCCGCTAAGTCTCTCCAGCACAAAGCCCTTCCTGGGTATCCCTCCGTAGGCGGGCCCCCCAGCTCAGTCCGCGACCCCCAGCAGACCCGCCTAGTCTCTGCAGGGAGAGTGGGGGGACGCGAGTTGACTGCCACGCCAGCCGGCCTGAGTCACTCGGCCAAGGTCCTCGGTGGTGCAGCCAACTCTCCCTTAGGGTCCCCGACTCGGCCCCGGGGTCCCCTCCGGCGGGAAGCTGTCCCTGACTGCTCAGCCCAGGGCCCAGCGCTCTCGCCGCGCCCTCGACGTGGCGTCGAGTCTGGTTACTGTCCCCGCACCGTCCGCGCTCCTCCGGGGAGGGGCGGAGACTTTACCCGCGCGCTCCGCGTTCACCCGCACGGCTCCAGACGAGGGACCAGGTCTCCAGCCCGGGCCTCGCTGCGGCCGCGGAGCCCCCGGCCCGCCCCTGGGCCACAGGGCCCTGGGAGGGGGGCGAGCTGCGCGCCCAGGGGCCCCAGCGCTGCGCGGGGCGAGCCTCGGGCGGGGGCGCCGGCTCCGCGCGGCCAATCCGCAGCGGGGGCGGGGCGGGGGCGTGGTCCCGCGGCCGGTCTCCCGGGCTCCGGGGCCGGGCCTCGGGCGGGGCTGGAGGGGCGGCCGCGCGGGCGGGCGGGGGCGGGTCCGGGCACCCTCTGGAGCCGGAGCGCCGCGGATCCTCAGTCGCCCCTCGGAGCCCGAGTCGCCAGCATGACGGACGCCCTGCGGCCCGCGGCCCCCCAGCCGCTGGAGAAGGAAGGCGACGGCTACTTTCGGAAGGTGGGCGGCTCCGGGCGGGCGGCGAGTCTGCGGGCTCCAGCCCTCCTTCCCCCCAGGCCGTGGAGGGGGCCGCGGGAGCGCGCGCCCGGGGTCGACCAGGCCAGGAGGGGGAGGGGGCGCACTGGTCGGAGGCTGGGGTGAGGGGTGCGGCGGCCGTGCACCGGCGGCCGAGAGCAGGTGGCTTCCCGGGCGAGGGGAGCGCCTGGGGCCGCCCCGCGCAGGTGCCGGCGGAGGATAGGGGCCGGGAGGGGTGCTGGGGTGGCCCGCGCCGGCGATCCCGCGCGCCTGGGGAAGGGACCCGTTCCTAGTTGCGCTGGCGCCCTCGGCCTCGGGGCTCGTTGGGACCCGAGCCCAGCGTCCACCCAAGCGCGTGGCGGGGGAGGCAGTGGAGGTAGAAGGACCACCCCAGGCGGGTCGGCGTTCTCCTTTTGCCTTGAGAAGACTTCCAGTGTCCGCCTCTTCGACTCTTTAGAGGGCAGGGGAGAGCTGCTGGTGGGAGGTGACTTCGGGCGTCGCCCTCTCCTCTGCCGCAGGTGGGCCAGGAGGGCGTGAGCGCCGCAGACGTGAGGGCCATCTCGCCCCCTCTTCTCTTTATGCTAAAGCGGATGTATCTGATTGTTGGAGAGACCGCGGCCACTGCGGGCTCCGCGGGAGCCTGTCAAGTCCAGGCACCTCTCGGCACACACGCAGCCTCTGGTCTGGAGATAACAGTCCGTAGCCCAGCCCCTCGAAGGGACTCCAGCCTGCGGTGCGGGGGCGCCTGGGTGCCCGCAGGTGGCAAGGCGTGGGCTACAAAGATGCTTTTGAGCCGGGAGTCTCCGTGACACTTTCCACCCTTCCTCCTTGTAGGTCCCCACGAATCTAAAAATAGCCTTTGGGGCTTGGCCAGGTCGGACTGGGTGGGTTGAGAGATTGTTGTTTTTGTAGAACATACATGACTGAAGGCAGAGTGCCCAATTATAAATAGGGAAGTGAAATTGTTTCCCACAGAACAATCAATTCTTAATTGTTCAGAGCCTAACGACCCAGTGGGTGAATGGCTTTGGCATCTTCCTCCTTCTCCCTGTGACGCAGCCCTCGGGCTTTGGCTGTCTGTGGAGGAGCAGTGGCCCCAGGGGATGGGCAGGACTGGAGGGGAATCTGGAAACAGGTGAGGACAGAGTGGGAAAAATTCTTTTTTGTTAAATTGCTTTTAGCATTTAAAAAAAAAAGAGTAGTTTTAAAGTATATTTAAGTTCAAAGATGTCATCATGGAATTACAGGATTATAACTTCTAATTATGTGTGGCCTTTGGGACAGAGGATCATAGGCCATGGAACTGCAGGAGGCCAGGCCTGGGAATCCCTAGATCTCGGTCCTAGGGCCCAGAGCCTGCCTGCCACCCCCACAAAATTGCTGTGTTGCGTCCATCCAGTTGCTGCCTCTTTCTGGGACTTCATTTCCTCCCTGAATTGTTTACCCTTTGACTAGGCGGAGAGCAATACCTGGGGGAAGTGACAGAGGGAGGGGCAGAAGAGATGGAGAACACCTGTGAGGGGTATGTTCCCGTCTTCCAGAACAGGTTTTCCAGTGGAGGATGTGCACAGTAACGAGCATGGCTATTGAGGGAGCTGGCACAGGATGGAAGGCTGGGTGTTTTGTAGCTGCCGTTTCTCTGGTGGTAGATAAGAGAATCGCCGGTGCAAAATAAGATGAATCACTCCTTTACGGTTAGAAACATCTCTGTTGAAAAGACCTTGTGAGGATCAGTGTGCTACGGCATGCCAGTCCAAAGAATGTTCTTACTATGGGGCTAGTACTCTCCCGATCTGTGATCTGAACCAGTTTGACCTCAAACAAATGCTCCCTGAATGAAAGGTAGATGCTACACAGGTGAAGAAGGGAAGAGAGAGCCCTGCAGGTGGAGGGAACAGTGTGAGCAAAGGCATGGAATTGTGTGTGCTTGTGGGGGAGCCCCCTGGGGTGTGAGGTGTGATGAGAACATGCATCTTGCTAGGGAACCAGGCACCTCCAGGATCCATCCACGTGTTTAAAGCAAGACCAGACATATGAGATTATGTCACAGAAAGACTGCTTTGATAGCTGAGCGGTAAGTGGGTGGGGGAGGGAGGAGGGGCAAGGAAGAGTTGGCTGGGTTAGCCTCCTGTAATCGCCATCATCTCTGCTCTTCCTACTCTGATACGGACTATCGATGACTTTTCAGTCACTTCTATAAAGTGCTGTGTAAACACAGCCTCACCACCCATCCTTCCCACCAGCTTGCACCCCTAACTCAAACCGAGGGTGCAGACTGGAGGTAGGGATCCCAGTGAGGAGGGTGGAATGATGAGGACCTCAGCAAAGGCAGTGTCAGCAGGCATGGGAAGAACTTACGGGACAGGATATGGTGGGGAGGTGCTGCTGACAGAATCCAGAATGTCTGCTTTGGGGGTCTGGGTGGATGGTCGTGCACCTCACTGAGATGGGGGAGCCAGGAAGCTGGTGTGGGGCAAGTAGACTTGGGGTCCCCATCAGATATCCAAGTGGTGGTCCCAGGGATAGTCCACTCCACCGACCCTGCAGCTATGGGCACCTTGGCTGGAGGTGCAGCTTAGGGGGCTACCAGTGTGCGAGGCGGTTGGGATATTGAGTGAAAAAGGACCCAAGACTGAAGGGAACAATACCTCCACTTAAGGGACAAGCAGAGGGATGGGAGGCCAGCCAGGAGGGTGGAGTCAAGGAAACCAAGAGGAGAGGTAAAGTTGACAAGTCAGAAGAGCCGTGGAAAATACTGGATTGAGTTCTTTAGGGGGTTGTTAGTAAATGCGCGGGTGGAGAGTTCGAGGCAAAAGTCAACGGAGTGGAGTGCCAGTGGAGTAGCGGGGAGAAGAGAGTTGTCAGAGGAAGATGGAGGTAGAGGAGAGAGAAGAGGCAAGTTTGTTTTAGAACAAGGGAGTCTAGAGCCTTTTAAAGCTGCAGGTGAAGAAGTTGGGTTGGCAGGGGTGGGGATGGGGGGTTGAGGATTCAAGGGGGAGAGAGAACAAGTTGGGGAGGGGTGCCAGGAGGCGAGAGGGGAGGTGAGGATTGGAAAAGCTGGGGCATGCGTTGAGCAGGGGAGCCAACCAGGGGCGGTCACTGAGGACCCCCGAGACTGGAGATGGCATCAGGGCATCATACAGCTGCCCTGAGGATGGCTCCCCATCCTGGCTCTGGGCTTCTGAGGTTTTACACGCACTTACAGGATCAAATTAATTTCTACTGAAGTTAAGTTTCTCTTTCACCCTGGTCTCTTTGTCAGACCTTCCCTCCCCTTCCTCTTTTCTTGAAAGTGCCATTCTGTTCCATTCATTCAAAAAGCATTTACTGAGTGACAGCTCTGAGCCTGACCCCTGTCAGGTTCTGGAGCACACTCAGTATGCTTCTGTGGCAGTTCACAGCGGGCCCCATTTCCTGGGTTACCGAGCAGGGCTGGGAGGTGGCGCTTTTCTGGATAACTCAGGCCATGCTTGACTAGGAATCAGCTGCTTTGTTTTCATCCAGAGAGCAAAAAGTGGGGGGTCCACGGCCCATACTTAGAGCATCAACTCTGTTTTGTGTGACTTGCACACAAAATGAAGACCAGCTGCCCAAAAGTCCACCAAGCTGGCTGGGCCAGAACCCTGACTGTGCAAGACAATCATTGGCAGAGGGGGAGGTCCCTGGTAAATCGGGGTCTTCTTGGGGTCACGTAGGACTTGGCTGTAGAGAGCCTGAACTTGGCCCCCGGTCAGGCGTGGACACCCCCAGTACAGACCCTGGCCCCCTGGACTGGCAGCTTGGGGGGGGGTCTCTGAATTAAAAACCAAACAGAAACTCCAAATACTTCCTGTCCTATCGCAATATCATGTTTCTCTGGCTTCTCACTGTTTTTTCTTTCTTTCTTTAAATTAATATGTATAAACAGAGATACAGGTCTAAGATTAGTATAGATTACTTTCTTAAAAGATTGGCAAGTGGAAATGGAGCTTCTTTTTCCCCCAAACAGATTTTTATGCTCTTCCTAGTGAAAGTCTTGGAGGAACGTGTGTTCTGGCCTATAGTTCATCAGAGTGATGGAAGTTTCCAGGACACTGCATCCTGGGAGCAGATATCGCCTGCGGGGCTCTCTGAGTGCTGGAGTCCTAAAACCTGGAGGAAAACCTGGTTTTGGCCAAGAGAAAACCAGCTGGAGAAAAACTAGAGAAAGCCATTCCCAGGGCTGTTGAAGGGGTCTGACCGAGAGGTCTCGCACTATGTGGAAGAAGAGAGTCCAGAGACTGTGGGCTTATCTCTGCCTCCCCCTCCTGTGGGAACACTAATGGCTTCAAATGAATTGAGCTCCATTGTTTTCTCAAGAGCTGGAGGAGAAGTTGTTTGTAGTTCACAGAAACCTCCAGGCGGACAGGGCCCCCGAGGTTCATTCTGTCCTGCTTTGTAGTCCCTGTTTACTCTGGGCTTCCTCGAGCCTCCAGCAGAGAAGGAAGAATTCTTTTTTTTTTTTTAACCCAGAAGCGCCTCCTGGTTCCTGCTCTGCACCATTCGTTTTAGCGGGGTGTGATTTCGTGTGCACCGTTTATGAACCCGTCTGTGTGTGGGGAACCCTTCTATTGGGCCAAGTCCCCGGAGCACAGTGTGGGGCGTGGGGGCTCATCAGCTCTGGCTTTCCTGCATGGTGATGATGTCTCTCCAGGTGTTTAGACTCATCCCCCTTGGAGTCTGGAATCCTTTCCCAGGTGGGCAGGGAGGGAAGAAGAGAGGTGTAAAGGTTGGTGATGCTGCCCCCTCCCCACCGCATACCCCACCATGGTCTGAGCCAGGTCCTAAAGGCCCAGCTGACCGTGGCCTTGGTGAGGGTCTGTCTAGCTGCACCGTGCACACCAGCAGCCTAGAGGGCTTGTCTGACCAACGTCTCCTCACATTGTGGGATCCTGGCCAGGAGGGGTCCCCTGGCAGGAACAGAATTTTCAGGGTGACTCAGAGGAGAGTCAGCGTGCTGAGCTGTAATTGTAAATGTCCCTCACTTCCTGGGGCTATTTGGACAGATTCCAAGACACCACCTGACGATACCAGCCGTTGGCTTTAGCCTGATCACCACTTCCTCCTTTGGCTCAGGTACCAGAGTCTCTTGACACAAAGGCTGCATTGGAGGTGGCCACAGAGGACAGTGGAACTGCAGGTGCACTCAGCCAGAGGACTGGCTGTCTGGTAGAGCAGGCAGCAAGAGGTGCCAGCCCGGAGTGAGGTCTCCCAGCCGCAGCCCCAGAGACGGGAGAGAGAGACAGGTCCTTCTGGCGTTTCCAGGCAGACCGACGGGGTTCACTAAGGCCGTACGCCCTTAGAAAGTCCCAGGTTTCGACTGGATTGTAAGAAGAGAAAAGGGCAGGTGATTGAAAACAACTTCAGAAGTAGTTTCTTTTTCTCCAATATTATTTGTATTCTAAAAGGAACATATGGAGGCCGGCCTGTGGTGGCATCCCGCATGCAAACTGGAGGAAGATTGGTACAGATGTTAGCTCAAGGTCAATCTTCCTCACACACAAAAAAGGGGGAACATAAATTGTTTAAAAAAGGTAATTACAGAAGTGTACAAAATCACACACACAGACCAGCCCCCACCCCCACCCCCACCCCCACCCCACACAGACACCTTTTCTAGATAAGGACTGTTAGCTATTGGTGAGTGCATCCTACCTGTTGAAATAAGCAGGTCGTTAGTTGGGTCTGGAAATACATTTGATTCAGGGAAATGTTGGTGATTGTAAAAGCTTCGTTATTCAGCTTGTTGAGAGAAAACTGAGGGCACACAGTAGGTATTTATACAGATTGGTAAAACTCACTGAAGGGGGCCTCTAGTTAAAGGGTATGGCTGTGTTGATTCATATTGTGCCCACAACCCCACCCCCACCCCGAGTGAGTGGATCGGGATCCCCTAGGGAGGCAGCTGAGCCTTGACCTCCAGCCCCCACACCTGGCGGAGATCCTGGAAGGGCAAGAGGGCTATTTACAAGTGCCAAATTCACGTTGTAACTTTTATGGACGTGGAAAAGCTAGATTCTGTCCATCCATCGTGCCCTGACTCTCCAGTGTGCTGTAAAGTTAGATGTATGCGTGTATTACAGGGTATTGCATGCTATTTCTGTGCTTTCTGGTTGA